CGTTAATCGGAAAGGATGTGACACGCTATCAACGTACAGGCAGTGTGTAACTACGAAGGCACGTCAGAGTACTGTCCATTTTTCGCAATTAGAGTAGCTTCCCTTCTAAGGCCAATAAAGTACGTATTCGGAAAGATTCGGAAAACGAAGAATGGAAGGTTTTGCGTAAACCCTCTTAATGAATGCAAATGTGATGTTCAAGACAGCAAACATAGCATTGTATTTTTTCAACTTTCATAGAAACAGTGCAAAGAGTCTGTAATTTGTTTTTAGACAATTTTTTTCTTATCCATAAGATTATATACTCCTATAGTGGAAATGCAATTAATCCATTCTCGACATTTCTTAAAGGCTGATGCTTTATCTATTTTGTAGGAACATTTACGAATGTGTGTGCTAAATGGACGGGAGACCCGTGAAGATCCGGGGTAGAATGGGTCTTCAGCAACCCATGCTTGCTGTAAAAGGCGACTATGCGTGTCGTTAGAGGCGACTAACGGGATCGGGTGGTTGACGTGGTTGATGCATGTCATCGTATCCTAATTGCGTGGATCGATGCTCATTATGTCAATCACTGGATTGTCTTGTTCAGACTCGATTATTTACAGACCGTCGTCATATAGCTGAAATACTGCTGAGTGCAGTGTTATACAAACAAACAAACAAACAAACAAACAAACAAATGGCCGGGATCAAGCCATGACAGCCACATATTTCGAAAACTTTGTGTGCATACTAAGAGGGATCGCACAAGACAATATCAGATGGTTTTCTATAGTGGATACCCTTGCAGGCCTTTTCTCCAATCCCCATGTATGACACCACAAGGCAATGCTCTCCAGAGATACAATGGTAGCGTGTGTGCTGCAAGAGTTACAACAGAAATAACGGTTTGATGTTGTTTATTCGGAGGTAAATATTCATAGTATATTTGTGAACTTTTTTTTACATCTACATCTAATTTTGATTTGTTTATCTTTGGGCGGTGTAGTGTGTTCAAATGCTTAACCACAGGAAATGTGAAACACAATGAGTGATGTAACCAAAGTTGTATTTTTTGGATAACACTTTCTTAGTAAAGTACAGATACTCTATGGGGGATTAGGACCATCCGGGATTCGAATCCAGACTCCCAGAGTGAGGCACCTAATCGCCAGCACACACCCGAGGCTGTTAGTCTAGATCATGTACTTTATCTTCCCCTGTGAGACGTGTAAATTGGCACGGCTCTCTTGGCCGAAAACTATGAATAAACAATGCCATTTAGAAAGGGGTACACAAAGTTTGTCATCTAGACAACCAGTTGTTGAACAGTTTGTGGAGCCTGGGGTGCCTGAGTGTGTTAGGTCGCTGGCTTTGTGTGCTGGCGGTTAGGTGTCTCACTCTGGGGTGGGACTCAACCCAAGAAAGTAATAGATTCTGTACTTTACAAAGAAAGTTTTATCCCAAATATACACTTTACCCCTTTCTAAATAGCCGTGTGGGGCAAGAGCAGCACTCAACAAATCTGTGACATCACTTATCCCGTACAGTGATTACAAACCCGTGATAAGATGTTACATACGAGATCTCATGTAAAAGAAGTGTTGTTGTTGTTTATTGTTTAACGTCGCACTCAGCAATATTCCAGGTATATGACGGTGGTCTGTAACTAATCGAGTCTGGATCAGACAATGCAACCGTAGTCGCATCTTAAGACAAGCATAGTCGCCTTTTGCGGCAAGCAGGAGTTGCTGAATACTTATTCTAACCCTGATCTCCACGGGTCTGTAAACAAAGTGAGACACCTAAGTAGGTATTGATAAATTCTATGAAATCAAACGAAATATCAGTTACCCCTACTTGGGTTGTCAATCAGAATTAAAGAGGTCATATCACACCGATGTCAATGTCGTGTACACATGAACATTTATTAATAGTTGAGGATCCTCCATTCTGTATCCCTTATGATGACATAATCACGGGCAAGCATGTCCTTCTTGACTGTGTTGATTTTGTCATCATGAGGAATAAATATTTTCAATTTTCACCCATAAGGGATCCTTTTAAATCAGATATGAGCACCTTTAATTATTGTTTTTCTAAAAAAATAATTAAATATTTGATAAATTTGAATGTGGAAAGTTATGTATTTTTATAAATTAGTAAGATTTGACAATTAATTAAGATTGTTAGTTGGTGGGTGTTGAAGTAGTGTAAATTATTGTGTCCCTGAGTGGGTATGTAAGCCCGCGTTATTCAATTATGGTTATGTTTACCAGTATTTTATTCGAAGAATATTTATTAGGTTTGATCTCTGGCTGAGTGTCCATAATCACCAGTGACTAAAGGGTGTAATGGTGTAAGTCCTGCAGGGGTCCATGCAGGTAGCACAGTAGTTTCATGTACTTGAATTGCCTGGCTGCATGTCCATCATAAGGTCGTGATGCTGCCTCAGTGTGCGGCGCTGGTTGTTTTTATGTTCATGTGTTTTATTAGGGAATACAAGTTACCTACGGCATAAATCGCAAAGAACAATGAAGAACGAAGCTTGGTTTATTTCATAATGAAACATTGTTCCATTGTTACGAGTACAGAAATCTGTATGTAAAAGAACCTTGTGTGCACCCCAACAAAATAATCAAGTTTTATTATTTATACGTCCAAATTAAATCCAGAATGTTCTGCATGTTTCGCAGTATCCCATGTGAAAGGTGCCAGTTGAGGGTTCATGATATGGTAAAGAACCTTGTGGTGAAAACGCCCTCAACAAACTGATGAAGATGTTCTCAGTAAAGTTACTGTAGTAAGACATCGGTAGAACAGAAAAGGAAATCAAACCACACACTTCATGAGAAAACTGTGCGTTCCACACGCTATTCATTATTCAAATACCGAACGAAATATGCTATTAAAAATCGAAGTATCCGCCAATCAGAATGTCGGCATAGGGATTTTGTCAGCAGTGCAACTTTCAATAATTCGCACAGTGCACTTCAGATTCAAAACAAATCTGAATGAACTCGCTTGAACTTGATATTTAATCTCATAGTTCAAATGCATTTGTCGACTGTTATTATTGACTATTTTTTTTAAATGTTTAAAAAATTCCGTTATCCTGGTTGAGAATGAAATAGTCACTGTTTTGAAGTATCCTTTATTGAGGCTATTCAGGAAAGACGAAGCTAAACCCCTGTACTTGCCCGACATTGACGAGACTAAATTCTTTTGAGGGAGTGATTATTATTTAAATACGGATGACTATTTTTAAAGAAGTCAAATTCTTCAGCGGTTATGTCCTTCGTTAATGGGACAACATAGGCATACTTCTCAGGCATACTTTCACACGCGTGTTTCTAGCACAGGCCCAACTGTCGTAGACATTAACAATCCATTGCGTGTTTCTTTTAGTATGTTTTTCTTTTCGTGGGATCCGACTTCATTGTAAATCCAAGATTTCTTCTTCACTTACAGGATTGCTGAAACGGGCCTGTTCTTGTTCCTTTGTAAACTGGAAGTCTTCCACCTCATCCAGATCGTTTGATTCCAGAGAATTGTCAATTTGTGTTAAGGTCTCCATTGTCCACTCGTCGTCCGACATGTCGACATTCAAACTTTCAAACGCTTTTGCCAGCACATGGTGTGGTGCACGCGCACTAAATACCTGCTTTTGCACGTGCGGCTCATGAGAAATTTGCCCACGGGAAGCGGGTACATGAGGCTACAGATGGAGGGAACACCAAAATTAAATATATATATTTAACTGAATATTTCAAAATATGGTTTTATGGTGTGATTAAAATAACAATAATCAAACTAATAACTTCACTCGACCGGAAGTGGGATATAAGTCAGTTATCACCACACTTACTCGGTGTAGTGGCCAATATCCCTACACTTTTGCAGATATTGGCCACTACACCTCGTAAAGTGTGGTGATAACTATTACGTGTCCGCTAAATGGGCGGGTGTGACGTGGCCTTCTGGTTACACACGTCGTAAGTCATGGTGATTCTAGGGTAGAACTAGTTCTGAGTAACCTGTGTTTGTTTTAAGTGTCAACTAGGTGAGGTGAGGTGAAATGGGGTTTAACGTCGCGTCCAAGATTATTGCAGTTACATAGCAACGTGCATGCAGTGGTGTGTGTGTGTGTGTGTGTGTGTGTGTGTGTGTGTGTGTGTGTGTGTGTGTGTGTGTGTGTGGCTGCTTGAACTAGTCCTCACTAATGCCGGTTTTATAGTGCCAGCCCACTATGCCTCTGATACTATGCCTCAGTTTAACATGAATATCCCACGGAAGACACACTATATTCACTGCGTGCCGACCAGTCCTTGTTTTAGCCCCTTAATGTCAAGCGCCAGACAGGGTAATAACAAGCACCATTTTTTAACGTCTTTCGGTTTGACACAGCTGGGGATCCAACCCCGGACGTTGGGCTCTTCGGGTGGACTCTCTACCACTAGACCACGGAGGCGGCCTAACGTGTCATCAAAACTAAATTGGCTGGAGAGACACGAGTAGGGTCCGTGTAACACTTGCCAATTCATCCTTGAAACTATATTTTTGAAAGCTGGAAAGCTGGAAACCTCTTCCTACTTCTCATGTCCAAAATCTGTTTTGAAAAGATTAAAAGTTCGAAAGCTCTACATCAGGTCTCATTTTCCACTTTTGAAATCATCTTTTAGGAGCTCGGATTTTTTAATTGTCTGCCAATTTTGCACTTTATTTTTCATACCATGGGAAGTAAAATTTACGGATGCGTTTAGTCAATGTTGTTTTGAAAATCAATGTGCAAAAATGTGATAACTATGTTCTCACTCACATGAATAGTTTAGATTATTAGCACTGTAGAGCTCTCAAAAATAATGTTTGAACGATCAATTGTAGTGTTACCCGGACCAAGCGTGACACAGATATACATCATGTTTCGAACCTAATTCAAGTCTTACCAACTAACTTTGGATATACATGGACATATATCATCCATCGCAATGTCCTCAAATTAAACACAATTCTCCATATTTAGACGTTTGACGTTTGTATTCAGTAAGACACAATAACTGCCTTTTGCAGTTTCCTCGTGCATATATGACAAAATCAAATACGAGATTGTTCACAAATGAAAGGCAACTCCGAATTGCAGGGAGTGTCATTCCATTTGTATGTTTGCTTCAAATACATCCCCATGCAATGCTCTTTACCCCCTCCGTTATTGGGTTCCCCTGAGTGCCAGCCGGTGTAGCCCACTACCTTCCTCAGGGGGTGCTCCCAAGTCCAGATGCCCTCTGATCTCAGGTCAGTGGCGCCGATGTAGAATTGAGAGCCTATTTACGAGACAAGACATAGAGATAACTACACGAGTGTCTGTCAGATACCATTGATCTTATAACGAGTTGTTTCAAAACGTATCCAACCAGCAAGAGCCCTAAAATCGCAACATTTGAGCATCGAATCGACGTCATCATTTTGTCCATTCTCATAGTCGCAGTGGCGCCTTAATACAGATCACAACGGTCATTCTTGACGTCACCCGACGTACTGCTTCCTACTCATAAATAATGTGACCCTATACAAACATATTTTCGCCATAAACGTGGATTATCAAGGCGATCATGATAATGCAAACTAGTTTAGATCAATGAACCCGCTTGATGCAGAGATAATAATTTTCACCTCAAAGAAGTAACCAAATATGTACAACAATGTTTACTTCCGTATGACATCACTACCGTTGACCGAATTTTACAAAATGGCGTGTTCACTGACAACAATCCGCGGGATTTTACGAGGGGATTTTCGTTGATTCAGGGATCGCATGTACATAAATGTGATACGTAAGTAATCAGAAACATTCTGACAGTCTGTGTACTGTTATTTGTTTTCTGGTTTTTCATTGAAACCAAAACATTTAGTCAGGGAATGCAGATAACTACCGTCGCCGTTGTGCGTAATTTTGCGTCAGTTATGGCGTCACACAGGACGGAAACATTCACGATTTCTGTTGAATTTACCTGATCATTGTAATGTATATATTTTTAATTCCATAATTCGTGCTACGATACTCTTCCCATGACTATTCTCCTAGACGCGAGCCAATATATGCAACAATTGGCCTAAAGGATGTCTTAAAAAAGGAGAGAATACTACCCACTCTACATGCAGCCCAGACAGCGAATAGGACTCCTCCAGAAGGCGCTGTCTAGTCAAACCCACCCAGAACTTTTCGGAGAATGTGAAAACATCCCAAGACTGCAGCCTTCTACATTACCCAGATTGTCAGAAAGGCTGTATTCCTGGTAGCAAACCCGGCTAGTCTCCCAATGTCAGTCAACAGATTGGAGGTACGACACCGAGGGCACCGAGAACAATGGGAAGTACAACTTGGTACTTGGGATGCAAGCGTGACATTTTGAAAGCGAGGTCCGCGTATTTTCCATGTTTTTTTTCTGAATCCTTTCAATCACATTAATATCAAAAGGGACAGAAAATTTAATGATATGAATGATTTCATTTGATTTATCAAAAAGGACAAGGTCAGGTTCGTTGGCCTGGGTACGTCTGAGGCTGTATACGGGCCAATCCAAAGAATTTTGTATTTATCATTTTCCATGACGCACTCCGGCATATTCCGGGTCGTACCATGGATGGACCCCTGTCTCAATACCAGAAGCATGGCGAGGACAGTAACAAAATGATCCAGCCATTCCATTATGTTGCTTAAGAGACTGCGTTTGTGTCAAAGCTGGGCATCAACTGACAATGTGTTGGACAGTCTCATTAAATTCATTGCATAGTCTACATTTCATATTTACATTTTGATGCAAAATCATACATTGACGGTTTCGAGTGGGAAGTGACTGGTCTTGAGCGACAAACAGAAAGCCTTTATTGTTATTACTATTTTTTTTTTTGTTATATTAGAGAGAAGATTCTTTGAGGGAAATGAGTTTAAAAATCATCGTTGATTTCAATAACAATCCAGTCTGTTCTTGTGACATTGACACTACAAATCTGTTTGTCAAGTCATATTTCCAGTTACCTTTGCCATGCCTGAAAAGGTAGCTCCTGATCAAGTCATCTTCATTCTTGCTGGCGATGTCGGCCAAGTGACTCCCGAAGAACAGGCAGAAGGACTGTGGAGTGTTGTTATACTGATATTACTCATCCGAAGTAGTGAACTCGGTGTGACTTACGAAGATTAAAAGACTTTTACTTCAGACACAAAGGTGAAAAGAGATTGTGTACAATAGTTTAGAGTGGAGAAATATTAATATCGAAATCAGAAAAGTTGCCAAGTTCAAATACACAAGTAACCGCATGCATTCTAAAGTGAAGGTCCAAAACGGATAATAACGATGGCACAAACTCGTCAAACAACTTGCCATAACATTTAACTTTCCTTCAATACATTTACACTATTTTAACATAAGGAAGATAATGTCTGGATGTCAACTTCTTAATTTTGAAGAGTGGTCGGGAAGCCTAGTGGTTCAAGGGCTCGCTCATCACGCTGAAGACCCGGGTTCGATTCCCGACATGGGTACAATATGTGAAGCCCATTTCTGGTGTCCCGCGCTGTGATATTCCTGGAATATTGCTAAAAGTGGCGTAAAATCAAACTCACTCACTCTTAATTTTGAGAAACACAACATTTCAATAATTCAACACTTTAAAGTAATTAGCGCTGATAGTTATGGACAACTGGAAGCCTGGGCTAAATCATCGCAGATTGGTAATATGCAATGGACAATGGGAAATGGACAGTGGGCAATCTTGTTTTCTTATTACTTTTGTTGTTCTTACATGTACACATATATGGTCTCTGCCTCACAGCATTTATTCACCTGATGAAGGAGTAAGCATATATTCCAAAACCTTGTGTTCCTCATAATGAAGAAGTTGACATACAGAAAGTATCTTCCTTTTGTGTATCACTTCTCAATCCCTTTCAAAGACTTGACTTCAGTAACCCTTTTGGAAGAACTTTCAATAAGTGAGTTGACAACAACATCATGCCGAAGTTAGAAACAAGCAATACGACAATGACAGACCAGGTCAGGTTTGTCACGTGCATGTGTCTGTGTGGCTTATGGTACTGGTCCGGACTGATGTCGATTTATAGTGCTAGACCACGGAGATACCATGTCGCTGAATACCCCACTTAGACACAGTATACTGATTCCTTGCCGACCAGTCCTTGTTCCAGCCCTTTAATGCAGAACACCAAAAAGGTAACAACAAGTACCATCTTTTAATGTCATTTGGTATGACACGACCGGGTATCGAACCGCGGACCTTCCGCTCTCCGTGCTGACGCTCACCCCTATAGACCACGGAGGCAGTCTATATACATACAAACTTAATATAGGTGACAAAGACCATTTTCTTTAAAAGATTTTGGACACATGTCCGCTGGCGCAGATAAAATAAGATTTTTCACTTTGTAACAAGACTCCTTTGTGATTTCATAAGCCACACAGTACAAGGGATATGGACTTACATTAGCATCAGCGTAGGTGGCATGGTTATGCGAAAACAGGTAGCATCCTCGACCAAGGTTGATAAACCCAAGTTGGCATCTTCTCGCTGAAATGCAAATCAATACTCGGAGATGAACATATAATCACGCCATGTTTTGGATTGGTACATTACCCACTGTGAACACTGCAAGTTGTTCTTTGTAACCACGAGTTACACACTTTTTACCCTTGAGCTACACACACTGTAACCATTAAGGAACATACATTGTATCATTTAGTTACACACGATGCACACATGAGCTATACACACTATAATCCCATTGTACCCATGAGTTAAACACATTGTACAGTGAGCTACATACATTGTACCCATGAGCTACGTACATTGTACCTATGAGATGCTCACATTGTACACATTAATTACACACATTGTACCCTTGAGCAAAACACATTAAACACACGAGTTACACACATTGTACACATTAATTACACACATTGTACCCATGAGCAACACACATTGTACACATTAATTACACACATTGTACCCATGAGCAACACACATTGTACACACGAGTTACACACATTGTACACATTAATTACACACATTGTACTCGTGAGCAGCACACATTGTACACACGAGTTACACACATTGTACACATTAATTACACACATTGTACTCGTGAGCAGCACACACTGTACCCATGACCTACACAGTTGTACCCACGGGCTACAAAGTTACAACCATGAGCTAAACACATTGGACCTATGAGCAACACACACTGTACCCATGACCTACACAAACTCTACCTATGACCGACACAGTTGTACCCATAGGCTACATAGTTGTTACTGTGAGCTGGACACATTGTACCCACGAATAACACACATTGTACGCATGAGCTACACACATTGTACCCAAGAGTTACAGACATTGTACCAAAAAGCTACACATCTTGTACAGACGAGCTACACACATTGCATCCACGAGCTACACACATTGTGACCATAAGCATTTCACGTGGTTCCCACGAGGTACTAACGCTGTACATACAAGTTACGTACATTGTACCTATGAGGTACTCAGGTTGTACCCATGAGTTCGACAGAGTGTGCCAATGTGCTAACCACATTCAACCCACAAGTGCCATACATTGTACCCGACTGTTTCCATGGGCTACACATTTTGTACCTATGAGCTACATACAATGTATCTATAAGCCACACACACTGTACACATCAGCTACACACATTTTATCCATAAGCTACACTCTTTGTTTCATGAGCTGCACACACTGTACCCATGAGCTACACACATTGTACCTATGAGGTATAAACCCTGTACTCTTGAGCTAAACACGCTGCATAACACATTGTACTCACCAGCTACCGAATTGTACCCAGGAGCAGACGTGATGCACACGAGCTACACACGTTGTACCCACGAGCAACACATATACCCACGAGCTACACATATTTTACCAATGAACTACACTCTTTGTATTGATGACCTACACACGATGTAGCAATGAACTACATACATTATACCCAAGAGCTACATAAGTTGTACTCCTGACCTACACACGTTGTACGATGAGCTACATACGTTGTACCATAAGCTACACACGATGTACTCCTGACCTACACACGTTGTACCATGAGCTACACACGTTGTACTATTAGCTACACACGCTGTACTCCTGACCTACACACGTTGTACCATCAGCTACATACGTTGTATCATGAGCTACACACGTTGTACAATAAGCTACACACATTGTACTCCTGACCTACACACATTGTACCATGACCTACACACGTTGTACCATAAGCTACACACGCTGTACTCCTGACATTCACACGTTGTACCATGAGCTACACACGTTGTACCATTAGCTACACACGTTGTACCATAAGCTACACACGTTGTACTCCTGACCTACACAGGTTGTACCATGAGCTACACACGTTGTACCATTAGCTACACACGCTGTACTCCTGACCTACACACGTTGTACCATCAGCTACATACGTTGTATCATGAGCTACACACGTTGTACAATAAGCTACACACATTGTACTCCTGACCTACACACGTTGTACCATGAGCTACACACGTTGTACCATTAGCTACACACGCTGTACTCCTGACATTCACACGTTGTACCATGAGGTACACTCGATGTACCATTAGCTACACACGTTGTACCATAAGCTACACACGTTGTACTCCTGACCTACACACGTTGTACCATGAGCAACACACGTTGTTCCATAAGCTACACACGTACTCCTGACCTACACACGTTGTACCATGAGCTACACACGTTGTACCATGAGCTACACACGTTGTACCATAAGCTACACACGTTGTACTCCTGACCTACACACGTTGTACCATTAGCTACACACGTTGTACCATAAGCTACACACGTTGTACTCCTGACCTACACACGTTGTACCATGAGCTACACACGTTGTACCATTAGCTACACACGCTGTACTCCTGACATTCACACGTTGTACCATGATCTACTAACGTTGTACCATGAGATACACACGTTGTACCATAAGCTAAACACGTTGTACTCCTGACCTACACACGTTGTACCATGAGCTACACACGTTGTGCCATGAGCTACACACGTTGTACCATGAGCTACACACGTTGTACCATAAGCTACACACGTACTCCTGACCTACACACGTTGTACCATGAGCTACACACGTTGTACCATAAGCTACACACGTTGTACTCCTGACCTACACACGTCGTACCATGAGCTACACGCGTTGTACCATTAGCTACACACGCTGTACTCCTGACCTACACACGTTGTACCATGAGCTACACACGTTGTACTCCTGACCTACACACGTTGTACCATGAGCTACACACGTTGTACTCCTGACCTACACACGTTGTACCATGAGCTACGCACGTTGTCCCATGAGCTACACACGTTGTACCCATAACCTCACGTTGTACCCACGTTGTAAACACGTTTTACCAACAAGCTACACACAATGTACCTAAGCGCTACACACTCTGTACCCATGAGCTACTCACGAGGTACACACGAGCTGCAAACATTGTACACACAGGTTACATACGTTGTACTCTTGACCTACACACGTTGTACACATGACCTTCAAACGTTGTACCCACGTTCTGCACACATTTTACACACAAGCTACACACATTGCACCTATGAGCTACATATTCCGTACACTTGAGCTAACACACTGCTTCACACATTGTACTTACATGTCCACATATGTCCCCATAAGCTACATACGCTGTACGAAGAGCTACACACTTTTTTCCATGAGCCACACACACTGTACCCATGACCTACACGCATTGTAGCCATTAGTTGCACACATCGTGACCATGAGCAACACAGTTGTACCTATGAGCTACACAGTTGTAACCGTAAGCTTCACTCATTGCACCCATTAGTTGCACACATGAGCTCCACACACTGTACCCACGAACTTCACACATTGTACTCACGCGCTACACACACTGTACCCAGGAGCTACACACATTGTACATGTGTATATAGCTTTAACATCATTTATGACGGTAAAGCAACATCCCCTCTCAACTTTACAATCACAATACAATTGTCCTGTTCCACTTGCACAAACCGATCTTAACGCGATTGTAAGGCGGCTTGGATTTAAGATCGCGATCTTAGCTAAGATTGAATTCTTCAACGGTGGAGGTACAACTATTTTTAAAAATAGCTTTTCGTAAAATCCTAGATATAGCCTTCATGGGTTTTTTTTCGTTTGCTATAACAAAGGATCATTTGACTACCATTTCAAAACACAGAAAGACAGGAAATTTCCAAAACGCTTAGACGGGAAATAAGAATTATGATTAATGTTTCGAGAAAGCAATTGTTTAATATGTATTCACTGGGTATTAATTTTTTTTTAAAAATGTGAACTATACTTTTGCTATTTATGGGATATTTTACACAAATTTCAAATATGTCATCATGTGTATTTGCTTGTTTAATTAATACTTCTATTTTTTCTTTTAAATTCAAATATTTAAACCGCTCGTCCCTGTCCCACTCGATTTTAGATTACAACATATATATTTTTGCTCTTCCACTTGTATTTATTTGCAGATTAAGTTAATGTTAAACTAAAGACAAAGTAATTGACACGAATGTGACACAAAAGAAATATAACGGGAGCTCAGCGATTCAACAACATTATTACACTGGGTAAGGTAGATTGTACTCTACGGGCTTACACACGGGGAAACCACTCCCATCTAGAGTATAAACTAGAATTAGTTGCCCTTGATTTATCCAAAAGGTCACGGACGTTACAAACCGATTGCAGACGACTTAGGTTTTTCAGCGAAAAGGTATGTTGTTTCACACTCCTTTCAGCATTGAGTCGGATGGTTATGTGTTAAACTATGTCAATTAACGATATTTCTTTAAATTGTGTTGTGTTCTTTGTGTTGTTGAAGTGTCGATTCGAATCATAAAGTTTAACAAAATAAAGAGACAATGTTTGCACGTAAAGCAGATTATTTATGTGAAACAGATCAAGTCTTGCACGCCATTTTGTCAGGTTTTTTTCAGGGACTACAACGATCTAAGCTACTAAAGATTGGCCCGGACCTGTTAGTTTCGAGTGTAGCTTACAATGATCTTAGCCTACAATCGCGTTATGCAAGTGGATGGTGATTGTAGCCTAAGCCTAAGATCGCGATCTTAAGGATTTACAATAATTGTAGCGCTCAGATCGCTTTGTGAAAGTGGACCCTGGTCTCTCGAACTGACGAGATCTTCAGCCTTATGAAAACCTCCCTGCCAGGTGTCAGATGTCAGGTCAGTGGGATGCGTGTCCGGAGACCAGCCTCACGGAGACGTTTACGCACTAAGTAGAAACGGTAACACCAACGGCGTTATAAGTATAAGTAATTATTCCCCTCAGCGCGTGACGGGTAATTGCAAAACTCTCTAAATAAATCAGGTTAAAGTCGAAATATATACTACTCAAAAATAGTTAAAGAACACCCAAACCTCTAATGTGGCTGTTGTTAATCTTTCATGAGTGGTGGGTATTTGTGGTATATGTTGTTAAACTGCAAATGCAAATTATGTGGTCCGTAACTATTCTTTTTGACATGAATAATTGATTTATGATCAACTTGCGTTGTGTCTCCCAGACATGTCCCCCATAGACATCTCTGGAAAGTCATGGGTCATCGTGTTCAACTGCGACCACATCCTGCAGCAACCCTCAAAAACTAATTCAGTCACGAAAATAAATTATTATATAAAAAAAACATTCAGTAGCGCGTATGTGATCCATGTGATACGATTACAGCCTGGCACCATCGTCTCAATAACTGGCCATATGTATTTTTGTTTATTTTATTTTTTATTGAGCAAGTTCCATATCATTAGATATATCTTGAGACCCTTTCATAGAATCACCTGAGTTATTGAGTTTGTGTCGAAAGTCCGTTACTCTCATTGTATTTTAAGTGGAGTTCGTCCCAGTTCTTCAGAAAGTAGGAGACTTGTAGTTGACTGTCTGGGTCCTGCACATAGCGAGTTTTACGAATTTTAGATAAACCTTTTCAATTCTTTTTCTTTTCATAACCTCAAATCTTGGATCCATATAAACAAATTAGCACCATCATGATATCGAAAGCGTTCAGTAAATAATCATAGAGGGTAAATTTAGATTCCTTGCTTTCTGTCATAAACATTACATTTCTTTAGGAGCGTTCTCAGTTAACCGTCTACTAGCATATATGAATATTCTTTTTGTATGAAATTGAAGTACCTTATTATTTATTATTATCTGCTACTTTGCGTTCTTATTCTTTAAAATAATAAATACATGGTTTTTTTTCTGAAATACTACAACGTTCCTTCTCATAACAACAGTGAGTTAGCATATACTATAACAAGTATAAACGGCATTCAGTGAGTTCCGCAAAGAGAGAGGACTATATCCAAATAATACGGTGTCGTCTGGATTTTACAAAAGAACAAACGGCATTCAGTGAGTTCCGCAAAGAGAGAGGACTATATCCAAATAATACGGTGTCGTCTGGATTTTACAAAAGAACAAACAGCATTCAGTGAGTTCCGCAAAGAGAGAGGACTATATCCAAATAATACGGTGTCGTCTGGATTTTACAAAAGAACAAACGGCATTCAGTGAGTTCCGCAAAGAGAGAGGACTATATCCAAATAATACGGTGTCGTCTGGATTTTACAAAAGAACAAACTACCGGGATCGGGTGGTCAGGCTCGCTGACTTGGTTGCTACATGCCATCAATCCTAATTGCGTGGAGACCCGTGAAGATTCCGGGGTAGAATAGGTCTTCAGCAACCCATACTTACCGTAAAAGGCGACTATGCTTGTCGTAAAAGGCGACTAACGGGTTTGGGTGGTCAGGCCCACTGACTTGGTTGCTACATGTCATCGATCTAAATTGCGTGGATCGATGCTCATGATGTCAATCCCTGGATTGTCTGGTCCAGACTCGATTATTTTACAGACCGCCGTCATGTAGCTGGACTATTGCTGAGTGCGGCGTTAAAAAACAAACAAACAAACAAATAATTGCGTGGATCGATACTCATGATATTAATCACTGGATAGTCTGGTCCAGCCACGATTATTTACAGACCGCCGTCATACAGGTCGAATATTGCTGAGTGCAGCGTTAAACAACGAACCAACAAACCAACTCACAACATGAATTAATTTTACTAGTCATTTTTCTCACTAATGGAAACAATTTGTCCCACACGCCATGTTCCAGCTTTTTATGTCAGACCCGATTATTGTTATTGTTTTTGAGAAGAATGTTCATAATATGCATAACATAAATGTTATCAATCGTTGATAATCCTTTGCGGAACCCTGCTTGAGATGGGGATGCAGTTTGTTGATATCAAGAAACCTTGAAAGGCGAATGGCTAGTGTACTAGTAAATAAGTTTCCAAGGCAACTGAGAATAGTTGTAGGCCAGTAAGTAGTTGGGTCAACGGTTTCACCTTTTCTCTTTTCTTTCTTATATAATATCCACACATCAAATACATGTTCAGTGGTACAAATCAAATTAAATATACTCGGCTACAAAATGTCTTGTGCACCCCTTTCCAATCGGCTGCTTACTAGAAAAACACTTTCTGGTGTTTAAATCGGAAACGAAAATATTACAACATGCATATGTAGCACAAACGAGTATTCATGATCTGGTGGCAAAAATTGTCTTTCATGCAGCAATCATGGAATTGATATGTAAACCAGTGTATAAAAGCATGCGCGTTGTTGGGATTCGGTATGCATTGTTTCTGGTTGCCTTGACAACTGCATCACTGTAAAACGTCAAATTTTAATAATTATTGGAAGTTTGGAGATGCCACGCCTATCTGAAAATGACCGCTTGAGAGCCATTGGTATGCTCAGGTCGAGAAGGTCGAAGCATGAGGTTTGCTAGGCGATTGGACGTGTACAGAAACACCAATTTGGCGTTATGGCTGCGGTGGCAACAAACAAACACTGCCAGAGTCCGACCAAGGAGCGGCAGGTTCCCCGTTACGAGTGTCCGTCAAGATTGGTGGATTGGAAATACCCTTCGGAGAAATCGGCTCCAGCCTGCAACAATCAACGCGACAACCATCCCTTGCCTTCGTCAAATATAGGCACAGACTGAACGTCGCCGTCTTAGACGTTACGGGATTGTTGCGAGGAGACCAGCCAGATGCCCAAATCTGACCAACAATCACCGTCGATTGTGTTTGCAGTGGTGTGGACAGCGAGTGCCATAGACGGCAATTCAGTGGCGAAAACCGTTTCGGAAGAGTCAGTGTTATGGTGTGGCGAGGAATGACCGAGAGACAGAGAACTCGTTTGGAAGTGTTCAATGGCAATTTGAACGGACAGCGTTACCATGATGTCATCTAGCCTATCGTTGTGCCGTTTTTGAATCAACATGGACCTGGCATGATTTTTCAGCATGGAAACGCCCGACCCTATGTAGCCGGGATTATCCTACAAGCACTTGGGCAGAACAATGTGACTGGCCTTCTCGCTCTCTGGATTTGTATCCAATTGAATATATGTAGGATGAAAAGGACCGCCGTCTCAGAGGTTTACCACATGTTCCGACTACTGTACAGGAACTGCAAGACAGGTTGGTGGAGATACTGGATGCCATCCAACAATACTGTGTTAGACGTTTGATCCGTTCAATGAGAAGGCGTGGATCGATGCTCATGATGTCAATCACTGGATTATTTACAGACCGCTGTCATATAGCTGGAATATTGCTGAGTGCGGCGTTAAACAAGAAACAAACAAACAATGCGAAGGCGATCCTGCATTGCATGCATCCAAGCGAGAGGGGGACACACACACACTACTGACATGTGAATTGACAGTTCTGTTCTTGCATCTTTCTCTTGTTATAACGTCATTTCTGTGCAAGACATGTGTCATAAAAAATGTAAACTTAATTTACTGTCTGCTTTGAAACATGAATTCTTTCAGATGTATGCGTCTACTTTGATCGGGTTCGTGTTTTACATCGTGTTACAGGAACAAATTGACCAAGACTGTCAGAAGAAGGTGCTTATTCCCAACATTTAATGTATTAACGGAATCAGGGGCTTGTTTACCCTTACACCTGACCTATCTCATGAGTGGCATCAGAACTTCCCGCTGTAGCTGCCAACCTAGGAACTGTAGTATGATAGAAAATAGTTTATCTTTTAATTTCCTTCTAGACTTCAGCATCCGTATTCCTTGGGTATAAAAGCCTTGGCTATGAGAGGGTCAGGCTTGCGCAAGGGTGCTTCACAAGTTGCATATGCGCTAAAGCACGTTGCACATGCGTGGTCAACGGGTTTGCAACCCATGTCTAACCCATGGAGCATCCGTGTTACATGCATAAACCATGTGCTATCAACACGTGTACGGAGACTGAACGTCTTGGCAGTAGCGTCGTTGTATTGAAACAAAACAAACTGGAAATCCTACTCTATAATAGAAGAGAAAACACATTACCTTTCCCAGCAGTCAGCGCGAACATCAAAACGAACAACAGCGTGGCGAACATCTTCTGTCTATACCTGCACCACTGTATTTCAGCTGCGCTAGTCTCTGTCTCATATCTCATCAGTAACAGCGCACAATATATATTAGTGTACAACCCCCTCTCCCCCTTATTGATTTCACACGTTGACGGTAAATCGTGTCTTTGGGTGTGAAAATACGTTACCACCTGCATATTGGCGATGAAGATGAAAGCCCCGATAACTACAGCTGATATCCACAGGCGATGATGTGACATTGCTCGTAATGCATGGATTGACTATCAAAGCAATATCGGTAAAGTTTGGCTTTGGAGCTTGATGGCAGTATCACCTGTGTATGTAACATCTGGATATTGTTCCAGATAATATTTGTGAGGGTGTGAACATCATTTACAACAGGATGTAGAGGTGGGTGTGACTGTCAAAGGTGTCATTTACGTGTATTATTAATTCTACATGCGACATGTATCATGATATGTCCAAGCGTCATATTGTTATATGGTAGTGTACAACGTATTTTATTGTCGATCAATGATTCTAACTGTTACATTGTTTCTGGATGAGATTCGGTAGACGCTCATTGCATTGTGTTTGGGGATTGATCAGTCGTCAGGAGTTAACTATGTTAAGATGGTAGTGTGGTGTGTTAATGCCCGGACCGTTATACCGCGGATGGTAATAGTATCTTAAAGAAACATATGGAAAGTTATGTTATAACAGTAACTGTCTGGTGCTGCTAGGCCTGGTGAGGGCGCGGTTTTGAAACTTCAAGTTGTTTGTTAGGCTGTATATATATATATATATATATATATATATATATATATATATATATATATGTGTGTGTGTGTGTGTGTGTATATATATATATATATATATATATATATATATATATATATATATATATATATATATGCTGGATATATATATATATATTACGCTGGAAATATGTATGCTGTGGAAATCGGTGACATTTATACTGTTTGCTTTCGTACAATCTATATTTATTCATTAGTATTTGTGCACACTAGGTCCTGCTGTCTGTGTGTGTGTGTGTGTGTGTGTGTGTGTGTGTGTTGTGACGTAATCGGTTACTATGTTACCAAAGTCAAAAAGGTATCAAGGAAAGCTTTCTGTGAAGGTGATTCGCTAGATAAAGGAAAACAGAACAACAATGTTGAGTTTACTGCATTTAGATTTAAAAAATTGATTTTGATCAGCCTCACACTATTACTGGTAAAATGTTATTTACATTATCAGCTTAAGGGAAAACATGGTACAAGTTCATTCCTGCCGGGGACAAATGTGTGTAGTTTCGTAGGAGCCAAGGATTCTTATAAAATGATGTTTATAAAATTTACTGTAATAAGCTACCTAGTACTAGTATCTCACTCTTACTCATTCTAGCCAGTTCATTGTGCACACGTACCTGCAATTTGTCTCATCTACATTTCGGACATCTCTAACCTGTGAAACCAAAGAACAATTGCGTAACAATTGTCCCACTCAATTTGGAATCACTATAAGGTGTCTCCATTTGTAGTTACTCCTCAATGTGGATAGTCAGATATCCATTTTGCTCTAAATTGCCACCAATATGTTGTGCCTAGTCTTTGCCAAGTATTCTCGTGTATGATTCTTCAACTGAGACATCGTGGATTTAGTATTATCGTTTCTGTGAATGTATGGGATGTTATGACAGTTCAACTCAAAGTACATTTCAGTGCTGTTTTATCTTCTGTGATCTTCATTATGACACTAATTCTGAAGAATGTGGTGGCACATTGTCCTGAATACAGAGCACAGGTCGCAAATCAGGTGAAGTGAGTTAGATGGGTGACCCTTTTTGGCAGCTGGACTCCTGAGAATTTTTAGGGCCCTGTCCCACATTGAAGAACGTGTGTAGCATGGGTGGTGTCACCCTGGGCAAGTGACTTTGTTCAAAATAAGGCTCTGTTCACCCAGCAGTGAATGGGTACTTGCTTGAAAACAGTACACCCAGCAGTGAATGGGTACTTGCTTAAAAACAGTACACTGATGTACACAGAAACGTCACTAGCACAGTTCATTAAAGACGTAGCTATCCATAAATTTGTTATCCACTTTGTACTTGATGTGACAGTAGATGGTAATGTAACCGTTACCATTCTAGCACCTCAAAATAATACAGAACAAGGTATATAACTGCAATCACAACCCAGAGCCGGTTTTGAGATATGTATTCTTTTCGATATTGACCAAAGTAACGCTACTTCATACACACGTTGAAATAGTTTTGTTATGTGGATATGTCGGGTTATAGCAAGGGTTCCTTTCATTAGGATTATGATGGGCGGTTGGGTAGCCTAGTGGTTAAAAGGTTCGCTCGTCACGACAAAGACACGGGTTCTATTCCCCACATGGGTACAATATCTGAAGCGATTTCTGGTGTCCTTCACCGTGGTATTGCTGGGATAGTGATAAACGCGGTGTAAAACAATACGCACTCACTGCGATTAAGACCAGTTTTCATGTTTCTGCGGCCATTTATAGGAACAAATAAGGACGTTACAAAGCGTGTAAAAGTATGTTTGTTTGAATTATGTCTTTTGTGAGTAGTAATTACTGGTCAAAAGAAACATGTGTTTTACAGGTCTTGTTCAAGTGACATTTCCCTTCACACAGTATGTGCAGCAATAGGTGTGTTTTAGTATTCATGTTATTAACAACACATTTCAATCAATATTACATACGCTTTGGTAAAACCATTGGGAGAAAAGTGGCATACATATTTGATTTGGGGATGCAAATATTGCGTGTACAACAATGACACCCTAGTTGAATTCAAGATGTTTGACAGTTTTGAGGACAAGGTGCTTCCAGCGATGTTTACAGGTACTGTCTTTTTGAATGATCAGACTAAATGGTTTTCACTTTTGTACATGCTACACGTTTCCGGTCCCCAAAACATTAATGTCACACAATGCGTTTTTGATTAAATGACTTCAGTTATTCTGTTAGCTGAAGACTACAGTTCAAAGACTATCATTTAGTTTAGATTTTATGTGCCCTTCAATTTAGCAGAGAGGCTACTGTCAGTTAATATCAGTGGCCGCCGTGTTATTTAACTTGTTTCGAGAGCACGTCAATCTTCAGACCCAAAAGATGTGACCTTTAAGCCACGATACTGCTGTCTTCTTTTACAAAACAGATGAGAAGAAAACAATAACACGTTCTTGACATTTGTAATGAGTCTTTGAAACCCACTGAATTTGAATGAATGCTTTGCGCTCAGCAATAGTCCAGCTATATGACGGCGGTCCGTAGATGATCGAGTCTGGAATACTGCTGGGTACGGCGTTATATAACAAACAAACACACAAACAAATGGCCGGGATCAAGCCATGACAGCCACCTATTTAGAACATCCACTTTGTGTGCAGACTAAGAGGGATCGCACAAGTCAATATCAGATGGCTTTCTATAGTGGATACCCTTGCAGGCCTTTTCTCCAATCCCCATGTATGACACCACAAGGCAATGATCTCCAGAAATACAATGGTAGCGTGTGTGCTGCAAGAGTTACAACAGAAATAATGGTTTGATGTTCTTCATTCGGAGGTAAATATGCATAGTATATTTGTGAACTTATCTAATCTTGATTTGTTCATCATCTGGCGGTGTAGTGTGTTCAAATGCTCAATAACAGGAAATGTGAAACACAATGATTGATGTAACCAAAGTTATATTTTGGGATAACACTTTCTTAGTAAAGTACAGATACTCTGTTGGGGATATAGACCATCCGGGAATCGAATCCACACTCACAGAGTGAGGCACCTAATCGCCAGCACACACCCGAGGCTTCCACAAACTGAAAATCCGACAACTGGTAGTCTAGATCACGTACTCTATGTATCCCTCTTTAGAGTGTAAATTTTGGCCGAAAACTATGAATACACAATGCCATTTAGAAAGGGATACACAAAGTTTGTCATCTAGACAACCAGTTGTCGTACAGTTTGTTGGAGCCTGAGGTGGCTGAGTGGGTTAGGTCGCTGGCTTTGTGTGCTGGCGATTAGGTGCCTCACTCTGGGACGGGACTCAACCCAAGAAAGTAATAGATTCTGTACTTTACTTAGAAAGTTTTATCCCAAATATAACATTTGTTACATTTTACCACTTACTAAATGGCCTTGTGGCGCAAAAGCAGCACTCAACAAATCTGTGACATCACTTATCCCGTACAGTGGTTACAAACCCGTGATAAGATGTTACATCCGAGATCTCATGTAAAAGAAGTGTTGTTGTTGTTTGTTGTTTAACGCCGCACTGTTTTCATAAATTTGTAGTATTTGACAATAAACAAAAATTGTTAGTTGATGGGGGTTGAAGTAGTGTAAAATTATTGTGCCCCTGAGTGGCTATGTAAGTCCGCATTATTCAATTATTGCTATGTTTACCAGTTTTTTTATTCGAAGAATATTTATTCGTTTTAATCTCTGGCTGAGTGTCCATAATCACCAGTGACTAAAGGGTGTAATGGTGTAAGTCCTGCAGGGGTCCATGCAGGTTGCACAGTAGTTTTATGTACTTGAATTGCCTGGCTGCACGTCCATCATTAAGTCGTGGTGCTGCCTCAGTGTGCGCTGCTGTTTGTTTTATGTTTATGTGTTGTTGTTTTATCAGGGAATACAAGATACCTACGCCAAAAATCGCAAAGAACAATCAAGAACGAAGCGTGGTTTATTTCACAATGACAAATTGTTCTATTGTTACGTGTACAGAAATCAATACGTAATAGAACCTAGTGTGTAACCCAACAAAAAAATCAAGTTTTATTATTTATACGTCCAAATTAAATTCAGAATGTTCTGCATATTTTGCAGTATCCACTGTGAAAGGTGCCAGTTGAAGGTTCATGGTATGGTAAAGAACCTCGTGGTGAAAACTCTCTCATCAAAATGATGAAGATGTTCATCAGGTTACCCTATGCAAGCGACAGAATCTAGCAACTTTTCAACTATAGCTGTTGCAAATACCGAACCAAATATGCTGTCAAACATAGAAGTATCCGCCAATCAGAATGTCGGCATAGGGATTTTGTCAGCAGTGCAACTTTCAATAATT